GCACACGGACGACAAGCACACGCGTGGCGACCCCGGCTCCCCCCCCGCCCGTCGTGGGCCGGCCGGGCCCTGGGTTTGCCCTGACCCCCCCAGAGCTGCCCCAGGGGGCACGGGGGGCTCCCTCGAGCCTGCTCTGGGCGGGGGACTGTGGCTGCCAGGGGCCGAGGCAGAGCCAGAGCCAGGACAGACCGCAGGAGTCCGGCCCCGGCCCGAGGCAGCGGTCACCCAAGGACTGACCGGGGACCTGCCGGGCTGCAGCGCCCCAGCCCACGGCCCACCAGGCAGGCCCCTGCCAGAGGCCTGTCCCTGCTGCAGCAGGGGCCCCAGCCCCGCTGCTCCTGTCCCCGAGACCCCCCCCAGCGAGGGGCTGGGCCCAGGCCTGGTAGGGCTGGGGCAGGGCACAGCTGGGCTGCAGGGGCTGGGGGGGCACAGGAAAGCTGGGCACCCTGCAGCTGTGCTGCTCCCACCCCAGTGCCGGAAAGGGGGGAGGCGGGGGCAGGGGAAGCTGAGGCACAGTCAGTAAGTCACAGCCAGGACATCGGGGTCCTGCAGGATCCCCTCAGCCCCCATCCAGTGTCTGCGGGGGGTCAGGTGCCACCCCCCCTTACAAGGGGCCCAGCTGCCCTGAGCCCCAGGGGCTGTTGCCTTGGAGACCAAGAGCTCCTGCCACCACCCCCAGCATCATGTGCAGCCTGGGATGCTATCTCCATGGCAACCACAGCAATGGCTCCTGGGGAGAGGTGCCAGGCCCTGCCCCAGCCAGGGACCCTCAGCCTCTGCCAGGGCCGGGAACAGCCAGGACCCAAGTGAGGGGCAGGGGAGCGGAGCGATGCAGTGCTCCGGGGTGGGAGGGCTGCATGCATGCACGGGGCCCTGGGGCACCTGCTGGGGGGGCAGCAGGCAGCGGGTCTGAGAGCAGAAGCAGCCTGGAAGGAGGTCTTTGGCAATGCAGGGGGCCGGGGGGGGCCCAGCCCAGGCAGGGGGTGCTGCTACCAACTGGGGTGAGCACTGCCAGCCCAGGGCCCCTCGCCGTGCAGGGGCAGACAATGCTCTTGGCCCCTGCTCCCCTCGTGGGAGTCACGGAGGGGGTACGCGGAGCCAGGCAGGAGCAGTCCAGCAGCCTTGGGGCTTTGGCATGCGGGGGGGGCGGGCGGGAGGATCAGGTGCAGGGGCGCGGGCGGACAGGGCCCTGCTCCCACCCAGATTCCAGCACTGGACGGGCTTCGCCACGGGGGCAGGCAGGCTGTTCCCACGGCCATGGGCTCCGGCTTGATCCTCCACAAGGTCATGGGCGCTGCCACCATGGTACAGAAATAGCCGGTGCAGGCGCCTTCCTGCCCCCTCCCCCGCTGGGGGCCGTGGCACTGGCGGCCTCAGGCCAGGCAGCAGGACAGCTGGAACTGCCCGCCCCGAGCAAGTGGAGGCGTCCAGCCCCTCCAGCGCCAGCCGCAGGGCGTTGGCTGTTGGCAGGGTCCGTGCAGTCGGTGCAGGTCTTGGACAGTCCCTCCGACACGGACGACACAAAGGCGGACACGGCACACGTATGTACTCACACACGCATTCACCCTACACGAGTCAATGGCGCCAGCTCGACGCGTATCTGTATAGGAGGGGCGAGCAAGGCAGCCCCGTCCCCGTGGTGGTGACATGGGCACAGAGGAGCCCTGGCTGACCTGTGCCCTGCGGGCTGGGAGACGGGGCCCAGGGGGTCCCACGCCCACAGTCCAGCGGCTCCCGGTCCACAACCCCTCAGGATGGGATCCTCAGCCCCCAGAGCTACACCTGGCGAGAAGAGACATAGGCAATCGTGACCCCCCGGCTGCACTGCCAGGGGTCGCGCCCCTCCAGGTGCCAGGCTGGCCGTGCTCATGCCAGTGAGTTCGTACCTTGTGCACCTGCGGTGGGAGCTCGTCTTCTGAGCTCTCCTCAGGCACTGGCTCGGGGTGGCGCGCGGGCTGCCCATCCTCGGCCCACCCACCGAGCGGCAGGCGGGAGAAGTGTGATGGGGCTCTGTGCACCGTGCCCGGGTCTGGGAGGAGAGGAGCCATCAGGGGGTCTGCCACAGGGCAGCAGGCCTGCAAACCGTAGCCCCTATCCCCGGTGACCCCCCACCTGCTCCTATCACTGCAGCCAGGCTGCGGGTACGCTGCCACCTGCAGGCATAGGGGTCAGAGCTCCCGACGATGGGCTAGGAGGCTGGCGCACCTGTGATGCCCCCGTAGCGGCGCTGGAAGCCCGTCTGCAGTGTAGCAGCCTCCTCGGGGGGCAGGGGCGGGCGCGGTGAGGAGAAGGGGTAGCTGGCGGAGCGTGGGATGGCGCCACCAGGGCCCCGCTGCACATCCGCCTCCTCCTGGGCACTCTCCCCGCTCTCATCACTCTCCCGCCGGTGCCACACGTGCCGCTCAGGCTCCAGCTGCGCTTGCTGCTTGTGGAGCTGCAGGGCGGCAGGGCGGCACGTCAGGCCCGGGACACCCTGCTCGCCCGCAGGGCTCGGGCGCCTGCCCCGGCCCCCAGCTCACCTCATGCATGTAGAGTGCGTGGAGGCTCATCTCGGTGGAGGCGTACTCTGACAGGATCATGCTCTGCAGCTGCCCCTCCCAGGCACTGCTCCCCGAGCTCACCGTCCGGGCATCCGCGCTGCAGCCGGGCCGAGAGCAGAGGTGACGCCCTGGCCCACAGAACCCCCCATGCTCCTGCTGGCCCCAGGGGCCTGCACGGTGCCATCCCTGGCACCTGGAGAGCCCCCAAGCAGCCTCCAGGCCAGGGACATGTGTGCCAGTCCATCCGACTCCATGGACACACCCCCATCCCCCCCTGCCTGACCGCAGCACCACAGGGCCTGGCACTGCATCCGCCCCCTCCCCCTGGTGCCCGAGGCGACCGCCCTTACCCTGAAGCTGTCATGGTGCTGCCGGCCCGGGGCTGGAGCCCGTCTGCGTGGGCCCCCGCTCCCTGGAAGGCGCCATGGGGCTGCTGGGTGGACTGCACTGGGGAGAAGGTGCGTGGGGCTGAGGCAACTTCGGAGCGGTGGTGAGAGGCCGGCGCCTCGCGGCCCGCATGGAAGCCCAGAACCGAAGAGCCCACAATGACGTTGGCGATCAGGCTGTGAGGCTGCGGCAGGCACAGGGAGAGGGGGCTCATGGCCTGGGGCAGACAGAAACCACCTGTGCCATTGCACCAGAGCTCCAAAACCGTCTTCCCCCTGCCCAGTCTCACCCAGAGGCCCCTGGGTGCCATCCCCATGACTGCCCAGCAGGATCTAGCCCCCACTCCAGCCCCTCCATAACCCCAGCCCCGGTCTAAGCCAAGCCGAGCTCAGGCCCTGGCTGCCCCGAGTGCTGAGCTGGCCCCGTGCGCCCTACACAGTTCAGGTTTCCCCATTTTCTGTTGTCTATAGGGGCAGCCAGTGCCCAGGCACAGCTGGAGCCCCGTCCCCCGCCATCACGGGCACCTCGGACTCGGACTGCAGGGACTGGATGGAGGTGAAGAGGGCGTTGTCAGGCAGCCCAGCCTGTTGCGCCAGCACCACACTGCTGTCCCGGTGCACCCGCTCCTTGAAGAAGCCGATGAAGGCCGTGCTCTCGCGGGGTGGCTGCCAGCGCGGATTGGTGATGGCAAAGTGCATGAGCGACAGCTCCGTCTTCCCGTCCTCTGCCTGCTGGTAGATGGAGGCCTCCGTCTTCCCTGCCGACATCCA